TCTATAAAGAGATTGTTCCCACTATATATGGACCACTCTATCTATATAGAGATCACTATATCTATAAAATGATCAACAACTTCATAAGGAAATAACTTCCTCCGTGTCAGAAACATTTCCCTTCATTTAGAGACCCTTACTTTCATAAACAGACCACTTCCTAAATATCTGTACAAACACTTGTACAAGCATTTCTCTATTATAATTGGGAAATAAATCCTCCATACAGGGATCACTCAGTACTAATATAAGATATAATACCCAGGATATCAGGCACTGCTTCCACTAACTTAAAGAAGTATATACTCTCTGATGATTGGATTAAACTATAAGATCAATAAAAAAAATCAATAATTACAATTTCAAAACAACACTTAAGAGAATAATCAAATTAAATCAACAAGTACTTGTTAAATCTCAGTTCTTAAATTACAGCAATGTGAAATTATGCATTCATCTTTAAATCTTGCCCATCTGGAAATTAAATTATAAAAGGTTAGTTGGATTCTTGCAATGGTTAACTCCCTTCTTTAAATGTGTAAAGTCAGCAAGAGTTATCTACCTTAGGTTTCTAACAGCTGAAAATAACAAAATCCATGCATATTAGTTTCGAAAAATTATCATATAATTCCTCATTCTTAAGACACTAAATAAAGGATATACAGATGAGTTATTAATTAAACATTTGAAGAAAACATGTTTGAAGTGATTTTTTTGGTAAATACACAGGTCATGTCTTTTTTCCCCAACAGCAACAGCATAATTCTCAAGGTTCTTTTTCTGTATCGAAAACTCAATATGTTGATTTTTTTTTAGGACAAATAGGAATGCTAGGAAAAGGTCCCTGACACTGACGGTTGATTATATCTAATATTTATCGAACTCTAAATGTAAATGATTATATATATAGACATTTTTTTTTTATCAAAATTGCATTCAAACCACAGTTAGATAATCATGACATTTTATCATCACTCTGTAGTCTCTACAGTAATACATTCTGTAATCACTTAGAAATCAGCAAGAGCTATCGTAAAGATACTTGTATATTATTGCTGCAAACAACAAAAAAGGTAAATGTGGAAATACCGAAACTGCATGTTAATTGTAAAGTAAATGTGATTACTCTGTTATAATGCTGGTCTCTTGTGAAGTCAACAAGAGTTACTCCCCTTTTACCTCTGCCATGCATTTGACTTCCAATATGGTAAATTCTAAAAAATGGAAATTAAAAGAAAAAGAAGCTGAATATTCTGTAAAACATCTGATATGTTAGTAACATAGATATGTTAGTAACACAGATATGTTAGTAACATAGATATGTTAGTAACATTAGTAACATAGATATGTTGGTAAGATAGATATGTTAGTAACACAGATATGTTAGTATATGTGTCGACCTTACCTTAGTACAAAATGGAATAAATGCCGTGTGTCGACCTTACCTTAGTACAAGATGGAATAAATGCCGTGTGTCGACCTTACCTTAGTACAAGATGGAATACATGCCGTGTGTCGACCTCACCTTAGTACAAGATGGAATACATGCCGTGTGTCGACCTTACCTTAGTACAAGATGGAATAAATGCTGTTTGTAACAACCATACAAACAACTCATAAAGTATATAAACAGATATATAAATAATCAATGTAAAATCAGTATAAACAACTGTACTTGTTTCCATGACTTGGGACCAGATCAATCATTATAACGCTTTAACTTCCCATGTCTCCATTTTTCTATTTAGTTCGACTCCATTTTTTCTTTCTCCTATTTACACTTTTGAAATAAGTTGAAATCCATTTTGATAAGCTTTATTACTTGCACAGAATGGACATCTTGAACTATAGAAACAATTTATACCACTAGTTTGTCAAACAATGATAATTGTAAGTACTTTTTAAGCATTTTAGATACCTGTAGTGCAACAGTTTGTCACGGATAATCAAACTCAAATATTGTCAATTTAGTACGGAGGTTTAATAAATAACACATCATCTGTCGGTGGGATAATATATATATGTCTAAAAAGGTTTCATAAAAGAAATACAATGTCACTGCACTAATTTTGTAATCCTGACAGTAGTCACACAGACATGTAATATGATGAGCCCTATCAACACACACTACTGTCATACAGACAGCAGACAGACAGGTAAGATGATGAACTTAGAGCCCCTTCACTCTACATAAACACACACTTCTGTCATATAGACAGCAGACAGACAGGTAAGATGATGACCTTAGAGCCCCTCCACTCTACATAAACACACACTTCCGTCATATAGACAGCAGACAGACAGGTAAGATAATGAACTTAGGGCCCCTTCACTCTACATAAACACACACTTCTGTCATACAGACAGCAGACCGACAGGTAAGATGATAAACTTAGAGCTCTATCCCTCAACATAAACACACACTTCTGTCATACAGACAGCAGACAGACAGGTAAGATGATGAACTTAGAGCTCTATCCCTCTACATAAACACACACTTCTGTCATACAGACAGCAGACAGACAGGTAAGATGATGAACTTAGAGCCCCTTCACTCTACATAAACACACACTACTGTAATACAGACAGCAGAAAGACAGGTAAGATGATGAACTTAGAGCCCCCTTCCCTCTACATAAACACACACTACTGTCATATAGACAGCAGACAGACAGGTAAGATGATGAACTTAGAACCCCTTCCCTCTACATAAACACACACTTCTGTCATACAGACAGCAGACAGACAGGTAAGATGATGACCTTAGAGCCCCTCCACTCTACATAAACACACACTTCTGTCATACAGACAGCAGACAGACAGGGAAGATGATGAACTTAGAGCTCTATCCCTCTATATAAACACACACTTCGGTCATACAGACAGCAGACAGACAGGTAAGATAATGAACTTAGGGCCCCTTCACTCTACATAAACACACACTTCTGTCATACAGACATCAGACAGACAGGTAAGATGATGAACTTAGAACCCCTTCCCTCTACATAAACACACACTTCTGTCATACAGACATCAGACAGACAGGTAAGATGATGAACTTAGAACCCCTTCCCTCTACATAAACACACCCTTCTGTCATACAGACAGCAGACAGACAGGTAAGATGATGATCTTAGAGCTCTATCCCTCTATATAAACACACACTTCTGTCATACAGACAGCAGCCAGACAGGAAAGATAATGAACTTAGAGCCCCTTCCCTCTACATAAACATGCACTACTGTCATACAGACAGCAGACAGGTAAGATGATGAACTTAGAGCCCCTTCTCCCTACATAAACACACACTACTGTCATATAGACACCAGACAGACAGGTAAAATAATGAACTTAGAGCCCCTTCCCTCTACACAGGTAAGATAATGAACTTAGAGCCCCTTCCCTCTACATAAACATGCACTACTGTCATACAGACAGCAGAAAGGTAAGATGATGAACTTAGAGCCCCTTTCCTCTACATAAACACACTTCTGTCACACAGACAGCAGACAGACAGGTAAGATGATGATCTTAGAGCTCTATCCCTCTATATAAACACACACTTCTGTCATACAGACAGCAGACGGACAGGTAAGATGATGAACTTAGAGCCCCTTTCCTCTACATAAACACACTTCTGTCACACAGACAGCAGACAGACAGGTAAGATGATGAACTTATAGCCCTATCCCTCTACATAAACACACACTACTGTCATATGGAAAGCAGACAGACAGGTAAGATGATGAACTTAGAACCCCTTCCCTCTACATAAACACACCCTTCTGTCATACAGACAGCAGACAGACAGGTAAAATAATGAACTTAGAGACCCTTCCCTCTACATAAACACACACTACTGTCATCCAGACAGCAGACAGACAGGTAAGATGATGAACTTAGTGCCCCTTCTCCCTACATAAACACACACTACTGTCATATAGACACCAGACAGACAGGTAAAATAATGAACTTAGAGCACCTTCCCTCTACATAAACACACACTACTGTCATACAGACAGCAGACAGACAGGTAAGATAATGAACTTAGGGCCCCTTCACTCTACATAAACACACACTTCTGTCATACAGACAGCAGCCAGACAGGAAAGATAATGAACTTAGAGCCCCTTCCCTCTACATAAACATGCACTACTGTCATACAGACAGCAGAAAGGTAAGATGATGAACTTAGAGCCCCTTTCCTCTACATAAACACACTTCTGTCATATAGACAGCAGACAGACAGGAAAGATGATGAACTTAGAGCCCCTTCCTTCTACATAAACACACACTTTTGTCATACAGACAGCAGACAGACAGGTAAGATGATGAACTTAGAGACCCTTCCCTCTACATAAACACACACTACTGTCATATAGACAGCAGACAGACAGGTAAAATAATGAACTTAGAGCCCCTTCCCTCTACATAAACACACACTACTGTCATATAGACAGCAGACAGACAGGTAAGATGATGAACTTAGAGCCCCTTCCCTCTACATAAACACACACTTCCAGTGAGAAAAATATTCCTAAGCGATAATTCTTTACTGACACCGCAAAATATCGACAGGTGATAATATTTTGTGACCCAGATTTCCATATCGGACGTCAATATAGCCTAGTTAGGTGGAGAATGTAACCCTCACAGATTATAAGTGTTTATCTTGGTCAAATACGCATCAATTTCAAACTCGACAAGATTTAAGTAGTTTGGACTTTTTGTCTAGAAACTAAATACAAATGTTTTAAATATCACAGGCTTGATTGGGTAATGTATACATTGAATGTTACAATGATAAATATCTTTCGAAAACATAATCTCTTTAAAACACCATCATGTCATAAATGGTATTAAAACGATAATCAAGCATGCCTTAAAACAAAATGAATTCTCCTGCACAATGAATTTCTCTCCCAAAGTAAAACAAAATTCTATAATAAAATATAACTGAGTTACCTCCCTTCTTACACATTGGACTATTACAAACCAACCTTTGCCAAAATGATTTACGCTGTTTTGGAATGCGTAGAACACTGGTGCTCATCACACGATGAAATCCACTCCCCGAGGCTGGAGTGTCTTCACATTCACAATCATCCATGTTTCCTTGGACTCGGCAACAATTTACTTAACTTACGGTAAGAATTTAATAGTTAATACTGTTTAGACATTAATCTGTCACTAGAAATCATAATAGTGTAAAAAAAAACCACATAACAACAAAAGAGTCACAGTCGTTAAGTTTCGTGGTCTTAAGTACAGCTTATACACTGACGTGCACTTCGATAGTTATAAAGTTTCTGTATTGATCGAGACACCTACAACTCTGATTAGAAATACGCTGTAGGCATATCAGATCATCCACTTAGCAAAAAGTTACTCTCCAGTGGTCAGACACTCTCCAGTGGTTAGACACTCTCCAGTGACTCTCCAGTGGTCAGACACTCTCCAGTGGTCAGACACTCTCCAGCGACATCAACATAAATAAATATAAGTACCCATCCATATCTCCTTTTCATTAAACACAAATATATTGGTGTAGCTGTCCTTTTTATAACCACAGATTTCTCTGCAGATACCCGTTTTATGACCTGAATTGTACTCCGTCTGACCGTCCGTCCTTCACTCACTCCTCACCGATCATTTATTTCTCACTGTCCTTGGATGTTTTGGTAATCCAACCTCTGAATTTTGTAAACTGATTACCCAAATGAATGGTAATCCGAAGATAATCCACAACAGTCCGAGTACACCTATATATCTTGGCCGAGGACCAATCTGTCTAGATCACTGTAATTAAATGCTGTTGATTCTCCGCATAGATAATGTCACTTTTTTCTGTTATACAGCACAACATGCAAGAATGGAAATTGCCCGTATATAGTGTTATCAATATTTTCTGTTCACTCACATGGAAATGTTTCTATTTTATCTGCAGTAGCTTGAGCATGTAGTGACTTTTTAAATGTACGACACCCTATTGTAAGGTATAGGCTCGTAAAATAAATCACAGAATACTAAATAGCTGTGAATTGGAACAGGTAAATCAATGTGATAGTCTAGCGGTACTTCAGATCACCTGTGACGACCCCACTATTTACCTGTAATTACCTATTGTTGTTGACACTACAGCAATTAGTCGATCAATATTTATATTTCTGTAAACACAGACACAATTCGTTACACTCTACGATACATTGTAAGAGATTAACGGCTTCAATAAAATTGTAAAGAAGAATGACCGATGAACAGGGAATTGATTACAGGTATCTAGTTTCACCTTGATCCGTTATCTATTGCAGGTGTCACATTTCAATGTGTACTATTTAGCTACGATCTCTTTGTACTTCCTGTTTACAATGTATGATGTCCCAGTTCCCCAGAAAACTCACAACATCCGACATTCCTGAGGAAATACTTGATAATGATCAATGCACATATCAGGCAAGACAAATCCAGCACAGTGTTACAGAAATTCTTCTATCTGCAGACTGTGCTCTGGAGCTAAGTACAGGACTAAATCCAGACGACTTCTATGTAGTTTTCTGGAGAGATTTCAATTTGTCTTTTCATCAACTTTCCCTTCTGCACTAGTTCTGTTTCTCGTTGATGGAACTCTTTCAAGCAGCTTGTAATGTCTGTAAAATAAACACAAAAAAATATCAGTGATGAAGCGTTAACAGCTCTGTTAAAACCAATCTGCACTCATACATCAAACTATCTGCTGAATGGCACACGCCAAAACGTTTCAGTTTCCAAGGACTCCTGTGAATTACTTTATTCACTTTTAACAAGAATCTCCGAGTCATTGATCTGACAATAAGATAAGGATTGGGTCTCCAAAATTATTACCTCAAATTACAAGAGTATTAAATACAAAATCTTGTGAATAAGTCATTAAATGGTTTATTTAAACATTCCGATTCTGCCCTCATCAATACGGAAACAAGATATGATTCATAAAATGTTATGTGAGTAGGAGACTACTTTAAAAATACCGTTAACAAGTCTTGGGGATAGATCTTTAAGATTGTTCTACAAGTTCTTTTGAGGAAGAATTGCAAGCTTATTAAACTAAAATTTCTGATGAACGCATCTTTAAGCTTGTGAAAATAATCTCAATTGCAACATAAATCCCACTGCAATCCAAAGACATTAATATCAGATCTGTGTGTGGGTACATATAATAATAGGAGGTACATTTCTTCCCGATAAAATCCAACAACAAATTGGAGTGATCTCGCTCATACCCACCAAACTTCCAACGGCATTCTTCTATTAGTGCTTCAAATGGGTTTCCATGTCAACGATAATCATAATCAAATAAATGGGATGTTTTTGATATTTGTGATGAAAATGATTCATATTGTCAGACATTCTGCTATACGGAGAGAAAGAACACACAAGTGTTCGCAGACGTGAAGATCATCGTTTATATTTAGATTAAACTAGACAGGCATAAGCAATAACATACTCATTAGCGATTGTTTTGCTTTAAGAATGGTTCAAATTTTGGTTCCCAGTAACAAGATGGGAATAGAAGGAATGATCCAGATTCAAGTCCAGAACCTCTGTACTCTAGCTAGACAGACGTTCTAACAACTAAACCACCAGGTAACCATCCAAATCCTAAACACTTCAGACAACACTATAGTATTTACAACCCAGCCACCGTATCCCATTGTCAGGCACAGATAACAAGGGTTGAACACATTACCAACTAGGAAATTTAAACCTCTCAAACCATCAAATCTTTGGAACCTCCGAACTCCTGACAGTCCTTCAATCAATGAATCGCGCCATGTGGTCACCGAGGTTACCCAAGTCCAGATCCTCTAGCTATTATCCATATACAAATACACAGCACAGAACCCAGAAACTGGTGTACTGTATTACCCATATACAAATACACAGCACAGAACCCAGAAACTGGTGTACTGTATTAACCATATACAAATACACAGCACAGAACCCAGAAACTGGTGTACTGTATTAACCATATACAAATACACAGCACAGAACCCAGAAACTGGTGTACTGTATTAACCATATACAAATACACAGCACAGAACCCAGAAACTGGTGTACTGTATTAACCATATACAAATACACAGCACAGAACCCAGAAACTGGTGTACTGTATTAACCATATACAAATACACAGCACAGAACCCAGAAACTGGTGTACTGTATTAACCATATACAAATACACAGCACAGAACCCAGAAACTGGTGAACTGTATTAACCATATACAAATACACAGCACAGAACCCAGAAACTGGTGTACTGTATTAACCATATACAAATACACAGCACAGAACCCAGAAACTGGTGTACTGTATTAACCATATACAAATACACAGCACAGAACCCAGAAACTGGTGAACTGTATTAACCATATACAAATACACAGCACAGAACCCAGAAACTGGTGTACTGTATTACCCATATACAAATACACAGCACAGAACCCAGAAACTGGTGAACTGTATTAACCATATACAAATACACAGCACAGAACCTAGAAACTGGTGTACTGTATTACCAATATACAAATTTTTCGCATGCAGAATCTCCCCTATAGATATTTCAACAAGAGTCCCAATGGGCCTGAATCGCTCACCTGGTATTAATCTCCCCCATAGAAATTTGAACAAGAGTCCCAATGGGCCTGAATCGCTCACCTGGTATTAATATCCCACATAGAAATTTCAACAAAAGGCCCAATGGGCCTGATTCGCTCACCTGGTATTAATCTCCCCCAAAGAAATTTCAACAAGAGTCCCAATGGGCCTGAATCGCTCACCTGGTATTAATCTCCCCCATAGAAATTTCAAAAATGTTGGCAAGAGTGGGATCACAGTTCACTATAGTTTAACACATCTGATCCCGTGACCTTAAATGAAGGTCAAAGTATTTTATGATATCAATTTTAACAGCCTATCATAATAGTAAACTACAAGCTACAATTAACTTCACCAGAGCTCATGATTCTATAGAAGAAATTGTTTGAAGGTTTTAACATATTTCACCCCGGCAACTAAGAATTTCAAGGTCATTTATTTGAACACAGTTGACAACACTTTACCAAAGCAAACTACATGAGAAATATCATGAACATTAGGCCTTATGGTTTCAATGAAGAAGGTGTTTAAAGAAAATGAACCAGGTGAGCTACTAAATGATGAAGTTAACCCTTTCATCCCTATGTAACTTTAATACACTCTACCATACATTGATCGCGATAAGTCCATTATAATCTACAGTGGTGAAAGGGTTAATTTATAAATAATGTCTCTTGTTCCTTCGACTAAGCATTCCTGATTTAGATTTGATTTGGTTACCAACGTGTCTGTACACAGAAGGTGTAACAAAAGTTACTATGTATTGATAGAGACATTAAGGGGAGGTAATTACCACACAGAAAAGCTGTTAACTGTTAAAACTGTCTCCATACTTTTATTGTCATTTAAGTACCTTTTTTCTGTACAAGAGACATTTGAGATTAACCACTTAGGCTTCAGCTGATAGCCCTTTGACCACATCTATAAAGATTGACCTGAACAAATCTACAACCAGTAACATGTGTCTAAGGGATATTTTCTGGAGGAAACTTAGAAGATGCATTTGAAAGTAGCTACTTAACTTTATAAATTCTGACAGAAAGTACAGATACTGAAACTTCTCCATATTGATCTGACAAATGTCTGACAGATGACAATGAGGTAACAGTTTGTAATAGGGAAGCTACTTAGTTTGTTACAGATGTAAAACTGGCGTCTAATGCGTTTGTGTTGGCAGAACAGCATGTATTTACGTTTGTTGTTGATGGAGTGTGAGGGAAAATATAAATACTTCTATTTAACCTCTTATAGCGGTGCATGCACCTTTTAATAGAATGAAAAAAAGACTTAGATTGATTTCTGTAAGTATTAGCAAGTGTATTTCTCTCCTGTGTAGGAATTACATTGGCACGGTCCCATTGCTTAATGAACTGTAAAAACAGACAAGGACCATTGAGTACAAGTACAGAAGAGCCAGCAAAGATCTGGTACATGTATAACATATAGGTCTTTATCATATCAGGTACCAAAGATATGATCTTATTAACAGAAATGATTCCCCCACCAAACTTCCTTCTTGATATTTCACTCTGCAGACACAAATGGGGCAAATTCTTCTAGAAAAGCTAGAGATAATAAAACTGTTTTATCATGGTCATGTCCAACTTAAAACATCTCTTTTGCACTTTCATAATCTCTGGCAACAAAAATTACATATTCATATCACAAAATCCTATGCTCTTGTTCAAACCTGACAGCTTAATACAACATGCTTTAAACCTCCACCTCCATTCCCTAACCTATCTCTCATACTCTACCTCCAACTTCCATACCCTAACCTATCTCGCATCCTCTACTTCAAACCTCCAACCCCTACTTCCAACCTCCTCTTCCCTCCTCAAACTGCTCTCTCCCCTCCTTCCTCATCCCTTACCTCCACCTCCTACATCCCATCAAAAACCTCTCTGTCGAACCTTTAATTACCTTAAAACCTTTTCTCCCTTCCATTATAGCCCACCACCTCCAACTCCTACTTCAACCTTGATTTCCTAAATCTAACTGCTCTCTCCCCTCCATCTCAACCTCCTATATCCCATCCGAAAAAACAATATGTTCAACCTCTACCTTAAAACCTTTTCTCTCCCCCATTCTTGCCCCCTACTTTCACCCTTTACTCTCTACTAATCCCACTCCATTCTTCATCCCCAAACCTCTCTCTCCCCTCCATCCCCACCCTGTACATGATCCACTCTCTACTAATCCCACTCCATTCTCCATCCCCACCCTCTACCTGATCCACTCTTTACTAATCCCACTCCATTCTCCATCCCCACACCTCTCTCTCCCCTCCATCCCCACCCTCTACCTGATCCACTCTCTACTAATCCCACTCCATTCTCCATCCCCAAACCTCTCTCTCCTCTCCATCCCCACCCCCTACCTGATCCACTCTCTACTAATCCCACTCCATTCTCCATCCCCAAACCTCTCTCTCCCCTCCATCCCCACACTCTACCTGATCCACTCTCTGCTCATCCCACTCCATTCTCCATCCCCACTCCTCTCTCCCCACCCCCTATCTGATCCACTCTCTACTAATCCCACTCCATTCTCCATCCCCAAACCTCTCCCTCCCCTCCCTCCCCACCCCTACCTGATCCACTCTCTACTAATCCCACTCCATTCTCCATCATTAATTTTCTTTCTCACCTCCATCCCAACCCCTACCTCCACCTCAATCCAAAATTGATTTTCAATGTTGTTTTTTATAGTTATTTTATAAAGCATGT